ATGACACAGCTATGAAACTGATTGATTCACTGTTAAAGGAGTTTTCAAATGCTCAAATTACAGTATTAAGTCCAGATCAGGGAAATCAGCTCTTCTCATCTGCAGATAAAATGTCACCAGTTCATAAAGTACCCCTCAGGCAAAAAGAACCATCTGTAGATAAAGTGCCACCCACAATAACAATAATACCTATGGATAAAATACCACCCATGCATAGTATGGCCGCTGTAGCTAACATACCTTCAGATGAAGTACTTTTTATGGCTAATATACCATCAATCGATAAGTCATTGGTCAATAAGGTTGTTCACTCCTCTATATGCAATATTCTGCTGGAATATGGATCTCAAAACTCCATTTGTAAGGACATAAATAGTAATGGTGAAAAATTAGCAAGAAGGCTAGCTAGTGCGGTAATAGAAGAAATTTTTCAACACCAGCTAGACTTTCTACTTTGTGATGAGGCTCCATCTTCAGTATGTTTACCTCTAGAATCTAAGGAGGTTATTAAAAAGCTCCAAAAGGTGACCCAAACAGCATGCAAAGAATGTCAAACATCGTTGCCATATACCATAATGCTGCCACGTGAATTTTTAGAGAATATCATTTCTTCTCTTCTATCAAAAATTTTCTCAACAGTAGCCAACACTAAAACAGAAATATTTGAGGACAACTTGTACACAGAACTGGATTTCCTTCAAATGAAGTTAGTAAGTACAGTTATGACACACATCGCCAAAGATACAGATATGATTATACAATATGTAGAATCCTCACATCCTAATGATGATGAAATTATTCAATTAGTGGTTCAGACTATTTATAATAATCTCCTCCCACAATTTGGATCACAAGAGATCGTACAAAATTGTGTCACCAGTGGTTGCAGAATCCTTTCCGAAACCATCGTTTCTTTAGTTGTACGAGAAGTGGCTGGCAATCAACTGCAAAACTATTTTTCTGAAATGCTGAGTCCACATCAGTGCACTGCAATAGACTCTGTGGTTGGAAACATCCTTCAAAATGTCATCCAAAACACTGAGATTGTCCAGCCCCAACAAACGTATACTTACAAACTGCCTTTTAACATCATAGAAGAAATTGCCGTCAATTTTTTATCAAAGCTCTTATCCATGTTTCCAAAAGCAGATGAGGAACAAAACAATCCTCTAAATACTGAAATGCAAAAAATAACCTCAAAAATCTTAAATTCATTTCAGGAGTATATCTCTAAAAGTCAGATTAAGGTTGTACCCCAGGCCAAGGAAGATACTACCATATCTTTGGCAGACAGTGCAGCTATTGAAAAGGTAGTTAGTGCTGTGTACAACAGTGTTTTAAAGCACTCTGGCTCACATACTTCAGTGTATAAAGATTTAATGGGTCAGAGTAATGTCCTTTCTGATATAATTGGTTTTTTAATGGTGAGGGAAATCTCCAACTCTGAATTGCAGCTGCAAATGGAGGAAGAAGCTTCAAGTGCAGAATTAGTTCTGGAAGCTGTCACAATTATGGACAAAGTGATTAAAATTATCAGTGACCTTAAGTCGAAGGAAAAGCCTTCATCCAGGGAAGGTTCCGCATTAGATGCCATGTTTTTAGAGGAAACATTGGCCTTGTTCTTGGCTAAACTAGTGAAGTTGCCATGTGCCTCAACCCAAGATGCAAAAACCTTATCAAAGCCTGAGTTAAATAAAATTGCATCTCAACTGACAAAATCCATGACAGCTGAAATTTCTAAAAATAACATTAGGGTTGTAGCTACTAATCCTGAAGAGTACCACCTAACTCCAGAAAATATAGAAATGATTTCTCAGGTTGTTAATTCAGTCTATAATCATGTGCTACAACAATCTGGCACGCATGAAGACCTTTACCGTGATATGAGAGGTACAAGCAGATTCTTTCCTAAAAAAGTGGCTTCTTTAATTATTAGTAAAATTTCAAATTGTCCATTAGAAACAATTGGCTCAAAAGATTCGAGTGCTGATCTCTTTGGCGATCTGAATGTGGACAGAATTGTTGAAAAAGCACATGAGCATGCTGTCAAAGTGGAGCCTGAGCTAGAGGAAGAAATGTTACATCGAGATTTGGTTGGTTTTTCCACGTGTATCCTTCCTTACTGTGGAAAACAACCAATCAGTGTCGGCCCAGATATTGTTGGTGAACACCTAGGAGTAATTTCTATTAAAACACAACCTCTTGAGAAACTAAAAATGGAATGTTTAGAGAGAACTGGATATAGCATAAAAGAACTGAGAAGAGCTGCAGTCAGTGGGAGGAGCTACATAGTAAATACACCTGATGTAGGTCAGAGAAAGAAAGAAGGGCGTGTCTCTTTGGATAAGAGTGGACGACTGGATGTAAAGCCCTTTGAGGTAAGTGCAAAAGGCAGTGGTGAAAAGAAATGAAGGGCTAGTGAGATTTCCTGCCTCAGGCAGGTCTATTGGAATGTATTTGTAAAATGAAGCCAATTTTCGGCCAGTTTTCTCTTGCTCAGCCCAGTAGGAGAATTGGGTCCTCTGATTCATCCAGCACCCCTGCTTTCCTGGGGCTTACCACATCAGCTCTGTGGCTCAGTGGAAAGGCATCAGGCTAATTTTCATTAGCCAGTCGGACTGAACTACCTTTTCTTGAAGAATGAGAGTACAGGGAAATACCCTTAACAGCAAACCAGACTGATTGGGACTGTAATCCTCATTGGGTGGTTCAGAAGAACTGCAGTCTCTTACCACTCCCGCAGCTTTTTATGGCTATACATTCTCATGATACTGTATTGGTGCAACTGGAATCCCTGAGTGGCGCAAACGGTTAAGCACTTGATCACTAGCTGAAAGGTTGGCGGTTCGAACCCACCCCGAGACACCACAGAAGACGGGCCTAGCAATCTGCTTCTGAAAGGTCACAGCCCTGAAAACCTTCTGGAGTGCAGTTCTACTCTGCACACATGGGGTCGCCGTGAGTCGGAATCGCCTCGATGGCAACTAACAACAGCCACCACCTAGGGCGCAAACAGGCCAGTTAATAGGATATCAGCTAAACCAGAGAAAATCTCTGCTAGAGATTCAAAGTCTCCAGCTTAAGGCTTCTTGGCAGTATTGCTTTTACTTAGCAACATTCTTCAACAAACATTAGATTGCAGGCGCTTAGATTTCTCTTGTTTCTTGCAGGCTCCTTCTCAGGCAGGAATCCACAAGCAGGAATTCTGTTTGCTGTTTTGAGGCTGTTTTGAGGTCCCCAAAATGTCCATCACACCAGAAGCATGCATGTTAAAAGCTCATACAGTGACAAATTCCAAAGCCATATCAAATGATCTAGGATTTTTTGAACCACTGTTCCCCTCCACCAGCATAGACAATCAAAATTGATTGTTTCCATTTCTTACAGAGGTTCTTCTTTCATTTTGCTTTGCACAAAAGATATTTGTCCCTTAAAAAAATACCAAACCCATTGCCGTCGAGTTGATTCCGACTCATAGCAATCCTATAGGACAGAGTAGAACTGCCCCACAGAGTTTCCGAGGAGCACCTGGTGGATTCGAACTGCTGACCTTTTGGTTAGTAGCTGTAGCTCTTAACCACTGCGCCACCAGGGTTTCCGTTTGCTCTTTAGGGCAGCATTAATCTGAAAAGCTGGTTTGCAGTGTTACAAAGGGATGTTGAGGTCTAAGACTGATAAATTCATTTTCTGTGGCACCATCAAAGGCTATAGAAATGGGAAAAGTCATTTATTTAATTATAACTGTCTTTTCCTTGATCTGTCTTTAACATTGCAAAATGAAAAGTGACATTTGACTAGGGAGGTGAGGAGAAATGAAGATTTACTCTTTGAAGCTTCTTTTGGAAAATATGTTCAAAAGGACTAGGGGTAGAGAGAGAGGTGAGGAGTAAAGATTCAAAGCCTTCAAAATTTTGGCTATTATTCATCATTTTTAAAAACTCAAATCAGCCAATACCTTGTCTTTTTTCATGAAAATATCTGTACTTAGATTGCTCTATGATTACTGCCCTGCTAAGGAGTGTAGAAAAACATGTTATTATGTCTAAGTCTGTCACAACCCTTTCAAGGTAAATGATGAAAACAGAACGTAATTACAGTTTTTGTGCACTTTGCATTTCTTGGCAAGTAAAAAGTAAAATTTGAAGCAAAAAGAAAGCGTCTTAGTTGGGCCCTCTTCTTTGTACTGGAGTAATATGATTTTTGAATGCAAAAAAAATTACAGAAATGAACAAACATTCGTTATGATTTTTGTTTATTTTAAATATATCACTAATATATAAGTAAATGGTATTTGAAGATAAAAGTATTTTACAAATTGAAACTGGTACCCAAACCCATGTGAAAATTGCCTTATTAATGTAGAACTACAGGGAAAAATGATTGGGGCAGTTGATTAATGTTTATTGTCTCTTCAATTCCAGCCTGCCAGCAGGAATTCATTTCTGAATTTGAAAAAACCTGACATCACCAGGGTGGCGCTTTTAAAAGATGTCAAGGACAAAAAAGACCTTATTATTCGGTTGGTCGCTCATGATATTGACTGCAAAAACTCAAAACATAAGATAGAAGAGGACCTGATTTCAGATGAAGGTGAAGTTGTTTTACAAGAGGTTGTAAAAGAAGAATTCATCGAAGGCCTAGGTGAAGATCAAGTAAAAGAAGACACGAAGCCAGCAGCGAGCATAGCAGCCTCTCCCAAGCCCATGACAAGCAAGAGCCGTCTGAGAAAAAGGTTGTCCCTCAGCAAATGTCATCCCAAATCCAGTATAACTCCAAACAGTGTTAACATACGTTCAGCTCAGTTGATGGAATCTGAGGAGACACAGATGAAGAGAATTCTTTCTGGCGTAGACAAGACCACCTCACAATCCTTTACCAGCACAGATTCTACTTACTGGGAGAAAAACATAGAGCCCAGTGTAAGTTAGAAATGTGACTGTCAGTGACAAGATTTCTATGGAAAGGGTAGAGAGCTTCACAGACTTAGTCCCAGTAACGTACAGTGCTTTGATTAGGAAGGAGAGGGTACTAAACTAGATCCAGGAAGTCTCTCTCAACTCTGGTGATATTTATAATAAAAGGTAAATGATTAGCAGATGAAGCCAGAACTCTCAATCAAGGAAAAAAAGATCATGGAAAGAGTCCTAGCTTAGTTAGAAGTAAGAGAAAAACAAAATGGAAACCAGTTAGGAGAAATGCAAGCTAATTATTTACAAGGATAGATTCCACACTTTCTTTTTAGTCTGCCTGGTAAGTACTTGATGAAAGTTTTGTGCAAGGAAACCCCATGCCCCCAGTGGTCTGGAAGAGAAGATGGGCTGGAGGGAGTAAAACGATTCATGCAGATTCAGACTGTCTGGGTTTGAATTCTGGCTCTGACCTTTGGGTAAGTTACTCAGCTGGCTTTTTTCTTAAGTTACTTAGCCGACTTGTCCAAACATAGCAAGTTCGTCAAATAAGTTGAATATACCTCCCACAGTTAGCCCATAAACCCCACTATCATTTTGACACGTAGTTCAGATTCCTTATCCCTTTAGTGATGATCTGGACCCCACTGACCTCTTAGGTTGGCCCTAACCCCAAAACTCTACCATACTGTATGTTTGGCGAATACACATGATTTAGGATTTCCTGGTGAGACAATTCCCCAGAGTATCCATTTGCACTTATTCCTAGGTTAACCCAGAAGCTGCAGTGAACCAGAAAAAAAACAAAACAGAGATACAACTCTAGTCAATTCAACAGCTCACGGGGTCCGTAGCCTTAACACAAACTCCGATCTACTTATTGTGAAGCTCTGATCTCATGCCCAAAGACAGTGTGCAGGACATTTTCCCCAGGCAGCATGGTCAGAAATGCTGGCTACATAGACAGTCAGGAAATGTTATATATTTTACTTATTTCAAACTCTTCTGTGTGTAACACCTGACCTGTTCTTTTCCAGGAGGAAGAAAGAAAATCTATGACTGAACCAACACACCACTTAATACACAGAATTATGAGTTCCTCTTCATACAACGAAGAGGATCTGACTTCATTTTCTAGGTACATTCAGTTAAAGCAATACAAGTTGGTTAAGAAAATAATCTGAAATGAAAATTATGCTTATGAGAAGAATAGGACCCTCCAGTACACCTGGAAGGAGACTAGTGTTCAGCCCTTTAACCTCCCGTCACCCCATCCCCTAGCTCCCCACTGTGGTTATTCCTCATCTTTTCTCCCATTCTTATTTACCTGGCCTCTGTGTCCTTCTCCTGAGACCTGTTTGCTAGTAGAGTGATATAGTTAGCATAGTTAGATTAAGTCTTTGCTAATGTGTTAGGTTTTTGAACCTGGGAGACAGGCACTGGGTCAACAATAGTCCCTACACTAATGGCCCACCCAGAAGGGTTCCTGCTTAGTTCCCTTAACTACTTAAATGCTCAAAAGTATGTCACTGACTGTCAGAGGAATCTGAAGAATGGAGGGGGCAGTGTAAGTTGGAGCATTCAAAGAAGAATTCTCAAAAGCAGGGGAGTTTGAGTTGGGCCTTTAAGGATGGATAAGATTTACATAAAAGGAAGACCATCGAAGCTGGGGAAGACTGTAGGAGCAAAGGCTGGACTATGTGGTATTTATAGGGAGCAGGGAACAGCAGAGTATACTGTAGACTTGAAGTCTGATTAGCACTTTTTTCTAGAATAGCTGTCTAAAATTGTTCGTAAGTTTATAAGAAGATTCAGAAATTGCATCATGGGTGAAACTGGGTATAAGGAAAAAAAATCTCCCTGGTTGTAACTACATACTTTTCCAGTTGGCAGTCTGAAATTAATGTTTTGTTTTGTTCCGTTTTTTTTTTACCTGATGCCATTTGGGATCTCTTCTCCTGGCCCATCATTGTTTTAACATACATAATTAGTAATGCAGGCAACTCTCAATGATTTCTACAATGGACAAGAGAAGAGGGCACATGCAGGACCAAATAAAAGTCATTCTAGCGCTCATTTTCATTTGATTTGAGAAGTCAAAGACATACCCTCCCAGGTTTGCTTCTGTATGACTTCGACAGATTGTTCTTTTGCTTAACCAGTAGTTCCTTCTTTATTAAATACATTGAAAATGAAATGTCCTTAACCTTTTGTTTTCAGTGACAATGAGGAGGATCAAATGCCAGATCCAAGTGCCAAAATAACAGAAGGTTTGCTTGATTGTTTTTTTCTTAATTTAAATTGGATAGTATTTAAAAGGAGACTATTCACTGCCTTGATAAATTTTCCTGTCATCAAACCTGAAGTTAATAATGAGTTTGGCTGTAGGTTGATCTACTTTGCGGAGAGTACTGGGTCAGTCAGATGTTAACATGAGCCAACTAGTTTGCTTTGTCTGAATCGCTACTGAGATTTCACTAATGATTTTAGTGTAGAGTATGTGGTGTGATATTACAAGTTTATAATTACTATGCGCCTATGGGAAATATCCAGGAAATAAGAATTTATCACAACAATAGTTTATATGTTTATATGTAGCAGAGCCTATGCTAAAGGATGATTAAAGGATTTAATCATCTCTTTAAGAGTTTATCCTTACTTTATATAAATAGCTTAGCCCTAACTAAAATATATAAAAAGGCTTTTAAAGCTAAAGATTAAACCTAAGTTTATTTGCTTACATTCAAGTCTGGCTAGGGTGGATCCCACTTTATTTTTTGTCTCTGTTAGAACTGGCCCATTAAAACATTTATAAGTTGACTTTTTGACTATTTGGTGAACCCTCAAAGGATCAGTGTGGTTCTAACAATGACAGCACTAGCCTAGAGGAAAGAGTGTCATGTTTACTGTAAAGGCAGCCTTGGAACTCATACCACAGGGCCAGAGTTTACCCTATTTCCAACCTGCAGCTTACTCAAGCAGTTACTCAAGAAAGTTCTCCTCCCAACTTAGGAGGGGAAATAATAGTCATTAAAGGATGAACCATAGAATAGCAGTAAATATTCCAGAATTCTACAAATATGCCGTAGCCAGAAGGTAACATAATATGTCACTGGTGTGTTTCTGGCATTATTAAATCATAGGCCATTGGAGGCAGAAAGAAGCCATCTAGTATAACCCCTTTGTTTTAGAGATCAAGAAACTAAGGTTTGGAGGGGGAGGTGATTTGTCCAAGATCATACACTGGTCAGAGTATAGATCCCATATCTGTTGAACCTAAATCCAGTGTCACTGTTTTCCTCAACTTAGTTATATATCCATGCTTAGTTCCTGTATCCTTTGGTAGTGTTGCACCTGTCCAATTCATTTATTCATCCAACAAAGATTCACTGAGCACTTTTTTTGTGCTGGACACTCTTCTAAGTACTGAGGATAAAGCTATGAATAAAACAGACAAAGCCCTTCCCGCCATGGGACTTACACATTCTAAGGGGTTTGAGGAGAGGAGAGCCTAACAACAAGATGAGTATCTTAACAGAATTTCAAATTCTCATGGAATCCAGACTTTCTGGAGTCAAGGAGGCTAGATGAACCCCTGAAACTATTGCCCTGACACAATCTTTAAACCAAAAATATCCCCTGAAGCCATCTTAAAACCAAACAATAGTTTAGCTTAACTAGTAAAGAATGTCTGCCTTGAGCATTGTGCTCTTTTAAGATCTATCTGTTGGCCTAATTGCTATGATTCTTTGATGAGATTATTTTTGTGCCAAAATTTGTACATGTTTCCAAAGTAACTGTTTTCCAATGTTGTGTTTTGACCACAGACAGTTTTGAATTTTTCACCCCAGAGAATCCAAGCAGTATTAAGGTAAGTATGTTTCACCAGCCCCTCATTGTGATCCAGTGGGCCACAAGGTGAAATAAGGAACTGCCTGCTGGGCATGCTTTGAGGGGCATCGGGATGTATTCTCTTGTTCACAATTTCCCACACCTGAATCTCCCTCTGGGGCCTGAAAATCCCCTAATCCAAATCCTACCTCTGAGTAAGTCGCTGTGCTGGTTTAAGTGCACAGAGTAAGCTACCACCCCCCACTCCCAGCACATTAATACAATTCCACTCACCAGCCCTGTTCCTGTAGCCTCTGGAGGAAAGCCGAAACGCAGGGAGGCCCAGGGGAGGGGCCTGGTGGGGGCAAAGAAGCAACAGATACTTCAGAGAGGAAGGGGACCTGCTGGAGGGAATGTGCTGATTCCAGCTACTTCCCAGTGTTCCTGAGGACCGATTCTTCACAGGCAGGTAAAGGCCCGCCAACTCCTCCAGGTGATCCCAGGAAATTCCCCTCCCCGCAGTCCCTCTTAGGAGGTCTCCAGTGAAGGCAGAAGCTACAAGGCCTCTTCTCTGTTTTGCATCACCCAGCATGTGTACACACATACACACACACACAGCACATCAATTTTTCAGTCATTTCTCATTCATCAAAAGACCAAATCTGCAGTCTGAGGGCCAGCTGACAGGGTGGCTATTCCTTTTGCCAAGCCAATTCCCTGGCTCATCAGGACTCTTCTTGCTGATTTTCCTTCTTCTCACTTGCCGAGGTTTTTTTTCCCTCCCCATGGTAAAACTATAATTAAAGGTATGATCCACTAAGATACTCAGCAGCATTCCTTACTGAGCATCCCTTATTAAAGTCCTGCTTGCATTTAGCTCCAGGAAAACTTTAGCCTCTGCATATACAAATACATGTGCTCTCAGTGTCAGAAACAGAAAAAGAAGCCCCCGTGTTTCCCTTAAGTCCTTACCATGGTCTGCCCACCTCCTCTCCCACCGTTCCATCTCTGTCACTCATTCCACTCCAGCCATACTTGCCTCCTTACTGCTCCCCTAACATGCCAAGCACGCTCCTGCCTCAGGGCCTTTGCACTTGCTCCTCCTCTGCCAGGCATTCTCTACCCCCAGATATCTGTGTGCCTTGCTCCTTCATTTCCTTCCAGTCTTCACTCAAAAGTCGCCTTCTCAGTGAAGCCTTCCCTGACCACCCCATGTGAAATAGAAGCACACACACTCACACCCTGTCCCCCTTAGCCTGCTTTATCTTTATTCATTGCACTTAAGTCACCATTCAGTCCATCATTCATTCATTCAACAATTATTTACTGAGTGCCAACCATGCACCAGGCACTGGAGATTCACCAGTAAATAAAACAGACAACACTTCCCTCCCTCAGCCTCGGACAGAGGGTATATTGTATTCACTTGAATATACGCTTCACAGAGGCAAGGACCTTGTCTGTTTTGTTCAGAACTGTATCCCCAGCACCTAAAACAGTGACTGACATATAGTAGATGCCCCACAAACCTGTGGTGAATGAGCAGTGCCTTAGCCGTCAGAGCCGAATGCAGTGTTTTTAAGTCAGGAGCTCTGAAAGCCCCTCCCCGTGAATCTGAGGTGCAGCCGTGTTTGTGACCTAGGACACAGAGCAGACCTTCTCAGCCCTGGACACACGTCGGGACCATCTGGTGAACTTTACCCCCAGAGACTCTGGTTCAGTCGGGCCGTGTTGCAGCCTGAGCTCTGGGAGTTTTAAAAGCTCCCCAGGTGATTTGAACGTACAGCCCACACTGAGAACCACTGACATCACTCATCTGCTTGTGTCAGCACCTGGCGGCGCCTGCACCGCCTGCTTCCTTCTGGTCATCTTAGAGTCACTTGAGGCACTTGTACAAAATACCAATACTTGTCCCACCCTCAGGGATCCCAGCTCAATTGGGGTGGTGCCCAAGCATCCATATTTTTAAAATCTCTCCAGATGGTTCTCTTGTGCAGCCAGGCTTGAGAAGCAGTGGTTTCGATTGCTCCTGTCCCAGTTCATCCCTTTAAGTGTCCTATTTTGCAATGTCTTAAGCCATAAGCTGCCTCAAATCCTCTTGGACGAACTAGAGTAAAACTCTTATACTGGTACTCTGCTCTCCGCATAGTCAGTGCAAGCCACACTTGTCCCCTCTCGCATGGTTTTAGGCCTTACTTCATTGAGCTTTCCTCTCCCTTTTTGAACTGCCATCCCCATAGAGTAGCTACACGGCAGCCCAGCTTCTTGCCCCAGCCTGTGCCTTTCTGGGACCATGCTGCTTCTGCATTCAAAGAGGTGATGAAGGTCCACAGAGGAAAGGCAGGATCGGTGCCACTAGCCCTGCCCTCCATGCTCCTGCAACCTCACGCTGCCATTTTCTTGCTAGAGACCCCACAATTGCTAAGATTTCTATAAAAGCAGACTGGGTGGTAAAATGGATGCCCCTCCTCCCCTTAAGGCCTCCGCTATCATAATCTCTCAGAGAAGGATCCAAAATGTTCTATATATTCTAAGCCCAAGGAGGGAGGGGGCAGACAGGACTAACATTTTTTTTGTGACCTGGGACACCTGAGCCCTTGAAATTATCCTGCAGAGGCAACAAGGCCCACATCCATGCCGGGGACCCATTCTGGATGTAGAATTGCAAGAAGCAGAAGAGGTGGTGCCTATAGGCAGTCTCAGAATGATAACTGTGTGTGGTGCTACAATGGTTGTGCTCCATCCTTTGAAGATTTCTTGGTATTTCTAGTGTTTACTGTCCAACAAGAGGCAGAGAGCTAAGGTAGTATTTCACCTTTGTCTTGGCAGTTTACCACACTCTTTCAACGTGACAGTATTCTTGCCAGTACATCTTCCTCAAAGGACGGCACATCAGGTACGAAATATACCATGTTAACGTAAGATCTAACTCTCCTACTTCACTGCAGTGCGAATGCCACGCCTGCTGCTCCATTTCTCTTCACAGCAGTTCTCCTTTGAAAGCAATATCAATTGGCAGCTGAAGAGGTCACATGCTCCTTGGGCTGGGCTTTGCACGTGCTGTTATCCTAGGATACCAGCCACCAGCCGACCTTGAACACTATGCAGGAATCTAATAGTGACTGCAAGCTGGGGGCAGTGCCTCCAAGTGTCCTCCAGGGACTGCTGGCATCAGGATCGCCTGGGATGCTTATTAGCAATACAGATTCCTGGCCCCCTCCCCAGACCTAAACCAGTAAAACCAGTTGCTGTCAATTCCGACTCATGGTGACCCCATGTGTGCAGAGTAGAACTGCTCCATAGGGTTTTCAAGGCTGTGACCTTTTGGAAGCAGATCCCCAGGCCTTTCTTCTGAGGTGCGTCTGGGTGGGTTCGAACCACCAACCTTTTGGTTAATAGCCAAAACCAATTCCACCACCCAGTTAGTATCTCTGGGAAACGGCATCCAGGCATCTGCATTTTTAACAAGATCCCCAGATTTCAGAAGTAGTTTCATTTGTCGCCCGCAATGCAGTTTTCAAAACGTAGCCTTACAGCACATGCACCAATCCTGCAACAAAGCCTCTGGCTTGCTTTTTCACACTTCAGATCCTTCTCCTTCATTCAAGCTTGCAGATTTTTGCTTTTTCCTTATTAATTTCTGGGTCATTCTTATTCTTTTAAACCACCAAGACCTGCCAGCACTGCATTATTAATTTGAAAAGCTGAACTTCTTCCCCCCTTTATTTGGGGGTAAATTTGCTATGGGCAGAGTGAAAATTAAATACATCGAGGAAGGAAGCTAGTGACTAGCTAGTGCTGAGTTATCATCGGAGACGTGGTCTGGGGGCTGACCGGTCAGGACAAGATGGCAAAGGTACTACAGTATTGCTCTGTAAGGAGTCCCTGGGTGGCACAAATGGTTAAGCGCTCGACTTCTTGCCAAAAGCTTGGCAGTTCAAACCACCCCCAGCAGAACCACAGAAGAGAAGGCCTGGTGATCTGCTTCTGTTAAGATGACAGCCAAGAAAACCCTAGGGAGCAGTTCTACTCTGACACACATGGGGTCACCAGGAGTCGGAATCAACTCGATGGCAACTAACAACAACAGCAAGAACCTTAGCTGTAACCACAGATTGTTGAGGTTCCCAAGGTTATATTGTTGGAGAAGATAAAAACTAGGTAACTGCAAGAGGTACAAAGGGGAATTTATCTTTTACTGGGAAAAAGCAAGTATGCGCTTTTATTGCCCAGTGTGTATTCGTGTGCTAGCACATCCTGTCATGATGCATCAGCAAAGTAGATAAACACTTCTCTGTCCTTCCAGGTAGAATAATCATTGTGTAAAGTGAGCTAGGGTGTGCTTTAAGAGCTCTACGCACAAAATAAGTGGTGCAGAAACAAATGGGTCCAAACGGAGACTCCTACTGGCCACACAGGTCCTTTACAGCTCACCTGACAACCCGATCCCTTGGGGTCGATCAACTGAAAACTCTCCCAGAGAGGAGAGAAGTGGTGGGCTTTTTAAAATGCACTTCTGCTTCTGCCTGGACATTCTGAAATCAACACCCATGCTGTCGAGAGTTGGACATGCCCTTTTCACGTGGAACTAGCTCATTAGGCTTTTTGCTGACAGTTATCTGCTAGAATATTCAAGAGAGGCAGGCTCTGCAGAGCTGGCCAGGGAAGCATCGGTGCAGTGAGGACAGCGCTGGCCTGTGTGTCAGAAAACCTGGGCCCTGCAATGGATATTGGCCATGGTTGCACAGCATGATTAATATAATTGATGTCACTAAATTGAACATGTTAAAACTGTTGCATTGCCAAGTGTTGTTATATATTTTTAACAACAGTAAAAAAATTTCAAAAGTCTGGGCACTGGTGCCAGCTTGGTTACTTGCTGGCCATTTGACCCTTAGGCAAGGCGTCTGACCTCACAGAACTTCTCCTGCTTTCCGTCACAGGACTGTCAGAAGGAGCGAATAACGAATCTTCGGGGAAGCACTTTGAAAACCATAAGTTATTATGTAAAAATGCTGATTTGCGAATTCTAGATTATCAACCCCCAAGCATGACCGCCTCAATCGGAAAGTCTAATGTCAGTTTCTCCTTTGCTTTATTCACAGACTCTGGCAAACGTGTGAATTCCAAACGGAAGTTGAAAATGATGAAGAAGGTATCATCGACTCTGTCAAAAGTGTTTCCAAGATCTGACGCTAATAAACCCAAAACTTCATCCTCATACCCCTCCTCCAGGACTGACACTGCTACATCTGACGTAAATAAGCCTGCCGACCTTCCTTAAAAAATTACATGGCTTTTGAAGCATAACACTGTGTCCTACAAGCTGATTCTTGTAATACTGAAAAATAAGAGCAGAGAAAGTAGAAAAGGCAGCTGGAGAAAAGGAGGGCTTGATAAGTATTTTTTATGGGCATTTTGGCATGAGAAGAGGGACCAGGCTTTACAAATAGGTACACCTACCAGGTGTGGTAGGGTTTAAACTCTACTCTTGAGGGCCTTGCACCCTCACTGGGAAAATAAGATGAATTTACAAGCAAACATCTGAGACCGGTAAGACGGTCTCATCAAGTATTCTCAGGGCTCTAGAAGGATCAACGAAGGGCGTCCTGTGAGCTGGCGTGGTCAGGAAAAATTTCCTGGAGGAACTGGGATTGAGTTAAGCCTCAAAGGACAGGTAGGATTTAAGCAAGGGTGGAAAGTGCCAGAGAGGCTTTCATCTTAGATCACACAGCTACATAAAACTGTCATGCCTGAATGGTCTAGTTCAGTGGTGTTCAATAGAATGTTCTGTGATGGTGGAAACAAGACGATAGATGCATGATGTAATCTGGTAGTCACTGGCCACATACGGTTGTCAAGTCACTAGTGTGATTGAGGAACTGAATCTTTAATGTTCGTCTATTTAAATTTAAGTAGCTACATGTGGCTCATGGCAACCATAAAGGACAGTGCAGGGCTAGTTAGCACCAGACCACAAAACCTCACAGGCACTAGCTAGTTCAGGTTAGGTTGGCGGGGGGGGGGGGCGGTCCCTGAAAGTTCATTTCCAAAGCTTAGCCCTGAACACCTAGGAAATTCCAGAAACCTGACTCTCAGAGGGGCTTTGAAGCCTCTAGGCATCCACACTTGTCCGTTTTGAGACACACGCGCCACCAGTGTGAAGAAGGCCCTGATTTCTAGGCATTGTTCCTCTGCACTTGCCAAAACTCAGTTGATAGAAAGAGGATAGGCCCCCACCTAGGACACCAAAGGCCGCTAACTCAGCTCATCACAAAGAGCAGATCACAACCTGCACCAGCTATGGCCCCAAATATGGTGCTTGGCTAGAAACAGCTTCCATGGACAGAAACACCACTCTGGAATCCCTTTATCCACTCATCCCTAGCGTTATCCAAGAAGTTAGGTCAGAGTAAAGTCCCAGCCTTATCGAGAACTTCCTGGGGAAACAGTTTGAGACAAGTAAACTCAACCTTTATGCAGTACTTCTAGTCCATGAATGTTAGGTGACCTGAATGTTAGCAAATAATAAGAGTGACAGGGAGTTCTCCTGCCCAAATACCACCTGTCCTGAAATGTGACTGCCTTCATTTGCTCACTTCTTATTCCTGCCCTTACATACTGCCGTTCATCACAGGCAGCAGCAGTATTTTTAAAATTATTTTTTAAAGGTCCACGATAATGACCACTGGTCTTAATTTTTAATTATATTTTTATTAATAATATACATCCAGATTTGGAAACAGTGGTGACAGCTGCACAACATGGGGAATGTAATTCATGTCAGAGTTGTACACATAAAATGGTTGAAATGGCAAGTGTTTTGTTACATATATTTCACCACAATAAAATTTAAAAAGTAATATATATCCAGTACAGAAAAAAAGAGACAACGCATTAGTTCAAAGCTTCTTTGAAGAGGTTAGGTCATTTTTAGTCATCCCCCAAATACTTTTAAATTCTAAACTGGCCAAAAGTAACCAAAATTTTAACTGATGTTCATTACAGAGAGCATACTGATTTTAGATTAAATATACAACAGCTGTACCTCTGCGTGAGAAGTGTATACTTTACAGTAACATAGTTAACATGGATCATACGGTTTTGCCCTTTTAAACGACCTGGCACATGGTTTCAGTATTTTAAATGATTCATGTTGGGACCAGTTTATCTTTCGTGACATAGTATTGATAATAATTTATACAATACCAAATGCTTATCGCAAATGTAACTGTTCATTGTTTCCTACTGAAAAATATAACTTGCTTTTATCATCTATTCGCTGATGCAGTTTACAGTAACACTTGCAGAAATCAGGAAGAACTCCAGGTTAAATCCTTCCTAGTGCAAATAATCACACCCAAAATTACATCTTCTGAGTTTACATGTTCAGATCAATTATAAGACACCCAGAAATGGTGGACTTTATTCCTTGGCCACAGTAGCACAGCATGGAACACTTTACACTTCACTAGAGTACCATTTAGACAATGAGCAGGTTATTCCTTTCAAAGGAGCTTCAATCATGTTTACAGAAGGGAGTCCAGATAAGGATTCTTTCCAGTTTAGGAATCAATGAATCCATAAACTGCCAAGGCAGGTACATGACCTAATAGGCTTCTTCTTGTTCGTTGCCGTGGAGTCAATTCCAACTCATGGCAACCCCATATGTTAAGAGAGTAGAACTGCTCCATAGGGTTTTCAAGGCTGTGACCTTTTGGAAGCAGATCACTAGGACTTTTCTTCTGCAGTACCACTGGGTAGGTTCGAACTGCCAACCCTTAAGTTAGCAGCCGAGCACAAACCATTTGCGCCACTTAGGAACCTTTCCCAATAGGCTAAAGGAAGCAAAAAGAGACAGACAGACTTACGTGTTAATTAGGCCACATCAAATACTGACACACAAGCACTAAAAAGTATTCTTAATAAGCATTTCATTTCAATGCGGCTGTTCAGCTTTGAGGTCACTGGGATTTGTCCCCAGTGGATTCCAACTGTCCTCTGTGAAGTGAAGCTCTTCCCCTACCCCATGAAGGGAACGAGTAAACATTCACTGTTTCCAAAGTTCACGAAAACCAATGGCTAGCTGGTTGTTTCAGACTGCAGGGACCGTTGTAGTTGGCTGATGGCCCCAGCTGCTGAAGTGAAACATCCAACTCTGCTGAAACCGACCACTGCGTTTTCACCCAGGTCACAGTCCCCCAGGCTGCTCCCAGCCAGTGACTGAGTGTGACAGAGGTACTAAAGTGGGTCATTCCTGGGAGACACAGGACTCCCCATACAGGCGACTTTGGGTCAGGGATGCTGTCGGGGAAGACCCCCAGCTCAGGCAGGACAGCAAGGGGTAAGCCTGCTGCTGTTCCACAGCAGACTGCATTAGAGCAAGACAGTTTATTACTGATAACACAACAACCAGCAGAAGCATCAGTGTAGTTCTGCCAGTTCCCGTCCCTAAGCCCCCCAGGACAATGTGACAGGTTCAGATGGATGCCCCACATACCGTGGGTTGCACTGCAGCTGAGAAGTCCAGGGCCCAGCACTTTCTGAGTAATAAGCAAACCAACCAGCCCCTTGCCCTGAGACGCAGGCAGTTACACAGTAGTCACCCTGCCCTACTTTGCTGCTCATGTGACTGTTACAGAAATGGTTCCCTATTGGGAGACGAATGAGCCTGGCACTTTAAGACACTCCCCAAGAATATGCAGGGCTGCTCAGGGCTCCTGGTGGACTGCCTGTCCCACACACACCCATCTGCTTGGCAAAAACGTTCTCAGAAAGGCACAGCAGTCTGACTCGTCCTGCCCATCCTTCCTTCCTACCCTCTCTCCTCCACAGAGGTTAGACCTGCATTGAGTCTGACGGCTCTCCCTGCCTCCTCTGGCTCCCTCCCGTTTCCTCTCAGGTATTTTCCCTAATAAATCTCTTGCACGTCTAATCTTATCTTGGCACCTGCTCCTCAGATGCCAAGGGGTGCCAGGAGTGGTCTGAGAAACAGGCAACGGGAAGATGGGCTCTGGGACCATCTCACTCACTGTCCAGTGGGCAGAATGGATATCGTCCTGAGGGGTATGTGGGGCATGGAGAGTGCCAGGCACAGGGTAGCAGTCCAGCTGCTAAAGATTTCTCTGCCGGTGACCTGAGAAAACAGAGGAGAATGCACTGGCAGGCACACTGACAAATACAGGAGGAATAAGGCTGACAAACTTGAGATGGCTGGACACGGTGGACTTGTACTGTTACCCTGCAGAGGATAACGACACATGGGCAACAGTTAACAAGCGGTTAAAGATGACATGTGAGAACCAGAGAGCTTCTGTGGCAGCTTACAGAGACCCTCTTCCCTGCAGCAGAGGAGGGGACACAACTGAGCAACACAGCGACGTTAGATGCTTCCCATTTAATACATCATAGGCCTGCTTTGCTGAAGTCAGGGCCTTTGTTGGGAGAACCCGGGACCCTGAAACATGGCATGGGGACATCTGGCTGGACGCCCCTGAGGGTGCTGCTCTGCAGACACTCCCGCCCAATGCTCAATTTGCAGAGATGGCCCACTCTGCCCTAGTAAGAGCAAGCACTTCCCTGTGCTGGAAGATTCTGCAGAGGCCACTCCTGGACAAGGCAGCCAGTGCCCCCTAAGGAGCTGCCCCCACCTCCTCTCCTGGTTACTAAGCTGATAGCCAGAGCTAAAATCAAAGACACTAAAGAGCGGCAACAATTAGCTGGCATGCACAGGCAGAAGTCAAGCGAGAAGCCCTGGGTTTGGATTTCAAGGGTGCTAGATCAAGAGGAAGAAGCCCTGGTGGCACAGTGGTTAAGCGCTTGGCTGCTAAACCTAAAGGTTGGCAGTTTGAACCCACCAGCCGCTCCACGGGAGAAAGATGTGGCAGTCTGCTTCCATAAGGATTACAGCTTTCAAAACCATATGGGACAGATCTACTCTGTCCTATAGCATCGCTATGATTTAGAATCAACTAGATGGCAATGGGTTTGGGTTTTTTTAGATCAAGAGGAAGGAGCTCCAGTGGCACAATGGTTAAGAGCTCAGCTGCTAACCGAAAGGTCAGTGGTTTGAACCCACCAGCCATTCCACATGGGAGAAAGATGAGGCAATCTGCTTCCATAAAGATTATAGCCTTGGAAACCCTACAGGGCAGTTCTATTCTGTCCTATAGGGTCGCTATGAGCTGGAATCTACTAGATAGCACACAACGTATCAAGAGGGCCAAAATACAAGACTAGAAAAGCAAGATTCATAGACCTGGGGTGCACTTCCTCAGGACACAGGATTTAACCCCCTGGACTGAAGAAAACGCCAGTCTCTCGCGGCAGAGGAGGCCAACTGTGAACCTCTCAGCGATACTGGGGCCCCCTGCACCGGTGCATTCCTCGTGGCCTTGGTAAACAGGGTATCCTCTAGGCCTCCTGTGGAATACTAGCCTCCGGTGGGGTTTTGGGCCCCACATAGTATGTCCACTTCCCTCAGCCTCTTCATTTTCCCAGTCCCCAAGTGTGACTGGAATTGATTCACTTGGTCATTGGAGTAACCCCCACGTGGGCCCTTGGCCTGTAGGGTAAGAGCTAGCATAGCGAGGAAGGCCAAGTGGAAACCTCTGAAACTGTCCCACCCCACCCCCCGTGGACAAGATAGTAAATCATGCTGGTTACTTTTGTGTTAACCTGGCTAGGCTATAACCAGTAACCAGTTGTCACAAAGTCAACTCTGACTGGTGCAGTTAACACAACTGGCTGCTAACCAAAAGGCTGGAGACTCCAGTCTACCCAGAGGTGCCTCAGAAGAAAGGCCCGGCAACCTGCTTCCCCAAAATCAGCCACTGAAAACCCTATGGAGCACAGTTCTACTCTGACATACACGGCATCGCCATGGCCAGGCTACAGTACCCACTTATTCAATCAAACACTAATCTAGATGTTGCTGTACATGTATTTCGTAGATATGGTTAACATCTACAATCAACTGACTTTAAATAAAGGAGATTATCCTCGATAATCTGAGTGAGCCTCATCCAATCATTGAGGGCCTTAAATACAAAACTGTGCTTTCCCTGAGGAAGAAATTCGCTTGTGAACTGCAGCCTCAGCTCCTATCCAGTTGTCAGCCTGCCCTGAATTTTAAACTCGCCTAGCCAGACTTCATAATTGCATATCTCTTCTCTCTACCTATATCTCTTCTCTCTACCTACACACACACACACACACCCACACACCCACACCCCCACACACCCCCACCCCCCCCACACACCCCTTCTACTGACTGATAAATAAATCAAAGACAATATTACATTCCAGGGGAGATGGAGTAGATTATAGATTAATGGCATTATTAAAGATCTACAGGATGCATGTGAAAGCTGGACAATGAATATGGAAGACCGAAGAACTGAGGCCTTTGAATCTGTGGTGCTGGCGAAGAATACTGACTATACCACGGACTGCCAAAAGAAAGAACAAATCTGTCTTGAAAGAAGTGCAGCAGAATGTTCCTTAGAAGTGAGGATGGTGAGATTTCGTCTCACATACTTTGGACATGTTATCACGAGGGACCAGTCCCTGGAGAAGGACATCATGCTTGGAAAAGTAGAGGGTCACTGAAAAAGAGGCAGACCCTCAACGAGATGGATTTGACACAATGGCTGCAACAATGGGCTCAAGCATAGCAACGACTGTGAGGATGGAGCAGGACCAGGCAGTGTTTCGTTCTGTTGTGCATGGGGTCTCTGTGAGTTGGAACCGACTCAACGACACCTAACAACAACAGGATGCAGGGGTGGTGGCCCCTATCACATGTCAGCACCTATGGCCATATGGGGGTTCCTGTACAACCAGCTCAAGGAGGAAAAAGCCCAAACCTGGTTTACAGATGGGTCGGCCCTGTGTGGGCACACGCTAAGATGGATGGTTTCTGCATTACAGTCACATTCGGGGTGGAGAGGGAAACTCTGTCCGGTGGATGAAGCTGCAAGTGATACACTTGACCATCTACTTGGTGTGGAAAAACTGAAGTAAGGATATTTATTTAATATATATTTGTCGTGTGCCAGTGAGTCGATTCCAACTCATAGTGACCCTATAGACAGAGAACTGGCCCATAGGGTTTCTAAGGCTGTAGTCTTTACAGAAGCAGACTGCTACATCTTTCTCCTGTGAGATATATATATATTCACACACACTTCTGGGACGGAGCCAGTGGTCTGGCCATCTATTTGGGAGCCTGGAAGGAAAAGGACTGGAGGGTCAGAGACAAGCGCGTCTGGTGTAAGGGCATGTGGACGGACATATGGGAGTAGGCAGTATGGGATTTTGGTATCACATGTCAACACCCACCAGAGAACATCTACCATGGAACAGGCACTGAACAACTGTGCAAACAAAACACCTCAGCCAGGTGATGTGGGCCTTCACCACTGGCTATCACGGGACTGGCACGACAGGCACGGGAGCGGAGTGGCCACAGTGGCTGAGATGGAAGCCCACCGGCAAGGACTCCTGCTCACCAAGGCTGATCTAGTGAGACTCGTCTGGCAGGCAACTGTGTATGATCTTGCTGCAACGTTCTCAGAATGGCACCACAGTCCCAGACTTTGCCTACCCACCCTTCATTCCTTCCCTCTCTCCTCCACAGAGGTTAGAGCTGCAGAGAGCCTGACAGCTCTCCCCGCCTCCTCCAGATCCCTCCCCATTTTCCTTCATAGGCGTTTTCCCCAATAAATTCTTAATCTACGACCCAAATTAACACACAGGGTCATTTAACTTGGTGCTCACAGTAAGGGTCTGATCCTCAGTTTTGCAGGGTCAGAAATTCACTCTTAACTTCATTATGGGTATTAAGGACCCGTGAACTATCTTCCACCAAGCTCATAAGGGACTGATTGATAAAACAGAAAAAGATTCTCAAATGACAAACAGAAATGCCAAGCAGACCAGAGAGATATGCAATGGGGTGGCAAAGCGTTCCTATCCCAGCAAGAACAGCTACTGGAAAAGCAGACTAAACCCAGAAGGTAGCCCAGTCCCTGTGGAGCCTAAGAAGGGAGCCAGCTAGCCAAAAGGTAGAAACCACCCAAATGTCCATCAGCTGAGGCATGGGTAGACTGTGACAGAAACAGACTAGAATGTTATACATCCAGAAAAAAGGAATGAAATACTGACACATGCTACCACATAGATGAGCCCTGAAAGCATTTTGCTAAGCAAAAGAAGCCAGACACCAAGGACCACATACTGTGATTCCACTTGGATGAAATCAAGGGGTAAACGGATCAAAGGTCTTTGCAATACAATAAGGCAAGTTCATGGGAAAAATAACAATGTATAAATAGAAAAACAGGAAACGGGAAAATGACATGTAAGTATTTATAAGAAATATTTAAAGGTGAAGCACAGCCTCTATGTGATAACTTTAGATAGAAAACTGACAATGGCTAATTGCTTTTTTCCTCCCATAAATAATTATCCAATGAAGAAATGTTAGCTCAACCAGGAGCTATGAAATCTGAGTTCTAGTCTCATTTAATTACTGACTTGCAAGAATTCTAAATCAGCTGTGGTGATGGTTGTACACATGTGTGAATATACTAAAAACCATTTAATTGTACACTTTAAATGTATAAATTATATGGTATGTGAATTATATCTCTGTATAGCTGAAAAAATATACATTTGGATTTCTATATCCAAGCACAGAATAATCCAAAAAGTAAGAAAACAACTCCTTTAAAATAGCACCAAAAAGTACCAAACACTTAGGGAGAAATTTAACCCCAAAGTACCAGACTTACACACTGAAAACTACAAAGCATTGCTGAAAAAAATGGGAGGTATATACGTACAGTGGAGTACTTATGCAGCCATAAAGAGAGAGGAAGTCTCGCCTAATAACAAAGAGAGATGAAGTTCTGGTACTGCAATGGGGATGAACCACAAACACATTATGCTGAGGGAAAGAACCAAACACCAAACCCACTGCCATCCAGTCGATTCCAACTCACAGCGACCCTACAGGACACAGTAGAACTGCCCCATAGGGTTTCCAAGGCTGTAATCTTTACAGAAGCAAACTGCCATATCTTTCTCCCTCGGAGCGGCTGGTGGGTTCAAACTGCTGATCTTTCGGTTAGCAGCTGAGTGCTTAACCACTAGGACTCCTCTGAGTGAAAGAAGCCAGACACAAAAGACCGCACATTGTGTGATTCCACTTACATGAAAATATCCAGAACCGGTAAATCCATAAAGACAGAAAGCAGATGGGTGGTGACCAGGGACTGAGGGGAGGGGGCAGTGGGAAGTGACCATAGTTTCCTTTTTCAGTGATGAGAAGGTTTTGAACTAGATAAGAGGTGGTAGCTGCACAATTCTGTGACTGTCTAAACCCCACTGAAGCATTTGCTTTAAAATCGTTAAGTTTTATGTTAAGTGAATTTCACCTCAGCAAAAATTAATGAATTAAAAAAGATGGAGAGAGACATATCAACCAAAAAAAGAAAAAGATGTTAAAAAACTTGAAAAAAATAAAAGGGGGAGTGTAGCTGGCTGATCTCAAGAACATTAGCATCAAGCTGTCCTAGCCTAGTAAGTCACACCTTTCTGCTCTATGGTTCTACCTGCCACCTGGAAAGGCTGGGTTCTAAACATCTAGCACAAACACCAAGATTCTAGAAGTGCCTGGTGTTTTCCCTTTCCTGGCAATCTCATCATAAACTGGGGTCTACAGGCTCAAGGGCCATATTTATGAACCAAAACGTAGGGTGCACACTCTGATAAATACAAGTATGTTCCCAGGGACAATGGATTATGTTAACCCAGGATTCTTGGCTGTTGAAACTACAGCCCTCTCCCACTGACTAATATTCAAGGAATTTTAAAAAATGCAGCCCCAGAGACTGTACACACAGAAGTAGTAAAAGCAGAAAGCATAATTGCATTTGATTGCATTTTTAAAATGCAGTTCGTTTCCAAATCTCCTGAGTGGCTGAGCAGGCCATGGCATCAGTGATGCTTGCGGTCACTGGGATTAGAGGCCTCCCGGTCCCGGGAATGCCGGGCCCTCTTGTGCCTATGGGATCTATCTCGGCTCCTACTTCTACTTCTGTGACTACGCCCTTCTGGACGACCGTTGGGCCGGCTAGAATGTGTGTCTGAGCTGCGACCTCTGTCCCGATCCCTGTTCTTTTCCTCTCTTTCCTCCCTCCTGCTCGAGGACTTCAGTTCCTGCTTGGGTTTCTCCTTCCTCTGCTCCCTCTCCAGGTCTGCTGCTCCATCGCGCCACGTGGTCCTGACCTCAGGAGAGCTGGGGTAGTGCTTCCGGCCTTCTCTGGACTCTGCCTTCTGAGCCCTCTCGGAGCTCTTGCTGCTATGCTTGTTCGAGCCAGGCTCCTCCTTTTCCCTTATCATCTTGCTCCTGGGTGATGAAGAGGAAGACAGTGGCTCTGCCTGGACCTCCTGGTCTGTCTTCTCTCTGTCTTTCTTTCTTTTCTTCTTTTCCTTTTTGTCTAGAGGGGGAAAAGCAACCAATGAGAAGAAAAGAATAAAGAAAAAAAAAAGAAGTCCTTTTAAAAGAAAGTTCCTTTCTTCTCTGAGTACATTATATCAAATGTGGGTGTTGCAGTTCAAAAACCTTCACGTGCTGGGAGAGGGAGAACACACAAAGGGAAAGCATTGCTGGCAGCAGTGTGTAGCAGCCAGAGTCAATACTTCTAGAAAAGCGTCTCAGAGAAGCAAAGTTGGCTATTTGTCACCCCTGATACGGAATGCTGCTGTCTTAGTCAATTCCCTCTTCTCAGGAGGCACCGAGGTAAGCTGGCCTCTCTGTTAAGACAGGGATCCTCTGACCTACAGTTGTGATCCAGCCCTCAATCTGACTGGATCTATGGGAAGCCACTGGTCTGATCACTATCAACATTCAGCTACCCAAAACAGAATTCCATCCTACCTCTGCATATCGCTTTGGTTACATTCCTCAGAACAGAACTTCCTCAAGCTTTAAAGAAGAACCAAATCAACATTTGTAGCAGTGAATTACTTTGAATACCCAACAGCTTGTAACAAAAGTAGTTACTTGTAGACCTCAGAATCTAAATTTCATGGTTTCTATTAAGTTAAACTCTGGTGGCATAGTGGTTAAGAGCTATGGCTGCTAACCAACAGGTCGGCAGCTCGAATCCACCAGGCACTCCTTGGAAACTCTATGGGGCAGTTCTATTCTGTCCTATAGGGCCGCTATGAGTCGGAATCAACCCCACAGCAGTGGGTTTGGTTTTTTGGGGGGGTATTCTTAAGTTTGTAAAGTAGGTGAATTGAACATTTTCTATTTCTCTAAAAAACAGACTAAATTATTTTCCTTCTTACATCTGAGAAAGTAAAAATTGTCTTGGACTGAGAAAGTAAAGGTGGCCCTGCCATGCATCAGGCTAGGCTCACAAGCCCAGAGCAAGCCAGCTGCAAAGCTAGAGCTGTCAAGCGTCTTGGTGGTCCCCTTCTTTGAGGGACTCCTGCTTTCTCACTGAGAAGCCTGGTGCTCTAAAAGCACAGACTATCAGCACATTCACTGTCTGAAACGATACCAACGAGAATGAAGGAGCTCAGTTGCTTTGACAGACAGAAGCAGCAGCAGCCCAGGCGCAGAGCTTAAGAGAAAGAGTTTCTGCTGAGAAATTAGAATACTGGAAACAGAACAACCAGAACGCAATTAAAGAGAATGTTGATACATTGTGAAAAATGTAACCGAATGGTTATGCATAGAAACTGTCAAATGGGAACCTAATTTGCTATGTAAACTTTCACTGGAAACAATAAAATATTATTGGAAAAAAAAAAAGAAGGTTTCTGAACACAACATTACACATTCACTTTGTAGTTTCCAAGAAACAGGCCCGAGTCTGTTCTGCTCTGCGCCTATTACAACTCGCCTGCATTTAGACTTCACCTAAACCCCACGACCCTGCCCCAAATCCTGTCGTAGCTCTAACTTGTCCTTTGTTTAGTGAGGCAATGCAGTTCCTCTGGTGTGTGGTTTTCCTCGACGCAACAAGTCAGTCTAACCTGATTTTGCTGGACTACAGGTCTGTCCCTGGTGGTACTAGACTATGACACATTTTGTGGCCTTCAACTGATACCCTCCTCCCCGTTAAATTAAGGTCCCCCACACCTTCTCCTTTCACACGAGTTGATTTTCAACTATCAGTGAATGCTAGGAAGAACAGGCACTTAAGACTACCCAGAATCGTCTCTAGGGTCTAACGCTTCACCTTTTTTGGGTTTTGTGGATTTGTCATCGTCAGAGCCCTCAGACGAACTTGGTGAGGGAGTGCGAGCCCCACAGCCCTTCTCCTGGAGCTCTTTGGTCACATCATCCAACTCTTCTGAGTCCTTAGGAGCACGATAGTTAGACACATGATCCACTCGGATGGTTCGTCCTTTAATCTAAGCAAGACAGCCAACGGTTCAGCAAAGACAGCTCTCCTAGCAAACAGTGTATTTGACCCCAGCACAGAGAACCATGGTTTGCACCGTATCTATTACCTTCCTGTTACTTATATTTCTGGGCAAATCTCTAAGGCAGGCCCGCCTGACTGGTCTATCACAGCATATATTTGTTGTTGTTGTTAGCGGCCATCGACTCAGCCCGACTCAGGACAACCCCATACACAATGGAATGAAATGCTGCCCGGTCCTGTGCAATCCTCATGACTGGTTGCAATTGGACCTTTGTGATTGGCTGGTTTTCAGAAGTAGATCACCAGGCCTTTCTTCCCAGTCCATCTTAGTCTGGAAGCTCCACTGAAACCTGTTCAACATCATAGCAACACACAAACCTCCACTGGCAGACAGGCGGTTGGCTGCGCATGAGGTGTACCGGCCAGGAATTGAACCCAGGTCTCCTGCACGGAAGGTGAGAATTCTACCACTGAACCACTGTATAACTCAACCCACAGCCACTGAGTCTAATTCTGACTCATAGCAACCCGACAGGACAGAGCCCCATAGGGTTTCCAAGGCTGTACACCCACTCCTCACTGACAGTGGTAAGGTTCCAAAGGCCAGGCCGTTATGCAAAAATTGGCGTTATGCAAAAATGGAGGATGACCACATCAGATCACAAAACATTATGTGGAATATGTCCCTCTGGACCCAAGAGGCGGAAAATAATAGGTGGGCACTATATATATTCCCACTGGTCATGAAAGGGTTACTGCCAGACATACGTCGTTAATGCGCTAAATAGTCGGAGAGTAGATTTTTTACTACTGTCATAAATGCGAAATGTCGGATAACAATATAGTTGACAAGTGAGGAGTAGGTGTTATCTTTACGGAAGCAGACTGCCGTATCTTTCTCCTGTGAAACAGCTGGTGGGTTCAAACCTCTTATCTTTCAGTTAGCAGCCAAGTACTTACCCACTGCGCCACCAGGGCTCCTTCACCACTGTATACCTATGTATTAATACACGCAGCCCTCAGGCAGCCAGGTGGGGCCTGGGGTAGCTGAAGCCCCTGAACAGTTGCAGCAGTAGCCTCCACAGGCTTACCGCTGTGTGCCATACAAGTATCATCGTGTTCTCTGTGTGCCACAGTGCAAAGGGTTGGGCAGCATCTCCAAAGCACAAGTGTCAGGAACAAGTGCAAGAGTCTGAGATGCACAATGAGTTACCCCAATCTATAACATCTGTTTACAGTAAAACATTCCCTGGAAAATCCTGGGTGCTAGAAGGGATCCCCGAAATCCAGCTCAATGCTACCTACGGCTGCTTTCTCAGCTGACTGGCACAGCAATTAGGATGAGGCACAGTCGGACCAACAGGCGGAAGGGGGCAAGGAAGCTAGAAAAGACCACTGTCTCTTTTCTTAAGCCCTCACTCCTTGCCCTACCCTCACCAGACAGGGACAGTTAGCTCATGCTGATTACTTCTGCTATAGATTACAACTCTGCAGGTGAGCAACAACAACAAGTTAACCACCCACTTAAAACAAAAACATTCTATCTTCAGGCAGATACCAACTTATTCTATAGGCAAAGCTATCAGAATCTGAAAACTTTGGCTTTTACCCATTTTTCCAATATAAGAACATATTCACCTACCGTATTCCCCATTTCAAAGTATTTTTGAAAACCTTCCTTTCACATTGCTATGCCATAAAGGAAACCAGCTGGCTCCCTTAAAAATCAAGCATAGAACCTTGTCCCACCCTGTCCTACAGTCTCTGGCTGTTCTATTTCTGGTCCAATCAGTGACAAGCTCTCTAAGTCAAGAGTCACCCCCAGCTTGTGACAACGCTCACTCAACTACCGTGTTCTTCCTAAATGAGTACAGGGACCATGTGGATGATAAATAAGCCTGACTTGTCCCATCCCCTTCTCTCAGCTCAGTGCCTCACCTGTAAGGTGAGAGGGACCAGAGGAAAGAAAAACAAAGAATGAGTCACTTCTGACAATTCCCTGACACAGGCCAACATGGAAGAGCAGTGTTTGTTAATCAATTTGTTCTCCAATGCACCAGAAATGGAAGTAGGAGGTACGGGTGGGGAGAGGAGAGGGCCTGCTAACAGATCAAAGATGGAGAAAAGGAACACGTCCTGGCAGGGTCATGAGCCAATGGGATAATTTCCTGGAATCATTTCCTGGCCAGCGTGTCCCCACACCTTTCTCCCCAGCTGATCAGTACTATCCTTGAGCACAGTAGGGACTAGGTGGAAAATAAAACCTAACCCCTACCCACAGAAAAAGACCAGCCTATCTGTTTAATAAGCTCACTCACCTTGATCCCATTGAAGTTATCAACGGCCAGGATTGTGCTCCTCTGGTCTTCATAGCAGAGGAAACAGAATCCTTTGGATTTGCCAGTCTTCTTGTCCCTCACGAGATTAATGTTAACAACCTCTCCATATCTATTTATTTTGTAAAAGAGCAAGACATGATTGACTTAAAATGCAAAACCTTTCAGGTTGGATTAAAAAACAAAATTCAAATAATAATATAGTCCACACAGGAGACACATCTAGAACAGGATGATATAGAAAGGTTGAAAATAAAAAGTTAGACAAAGATATAGCAAGAACACCCAAACAAAAACATGGGTGGCAATGTTAACATAGAAGAATTCAAGACCAAAAAAAGGCATTAAATGGGATGAAGAGGGTTACTTTACATTGAAAAAGGTCCTAATACATAACAAAGGTGTAAATCACAGAACTTCATGTGTCAATTAACAAATTAACATTTTTAATTAAAAAATTATTAGATAAATATCGATACTCTGAAATATTAACATACTAAATAGCTTCTATGATTAAACTAGTGTGGTACTGGCACATGAATAGACAAAGACAGAAGACAGACAGACAAACAGAAGAAAAAGCTAACAGATCCAAGTACATACAGAAAAATTAGTATATGATAAAGATGGCATCCCAATTTGCTGGGGAAAAGATGGACTTTTTTATAGGTGTGGAGGCAACTGCATAGCTATTTGGAAATGATAAAACTGGATCCATACTTCACATCGTACACCAGAATAAGCTCTAAATGGATCCGAAATTTCAATGTAAAATATTGAAATCATACAGAACACAGCTGAATTCTTTTACAACCTAGATGGCTACAGAACACAGTTGAATTCTTTTATAACCTAGATGGCTAAGCAGAAATGCTTTCTAACTATGATGCAAAATCCAGAAATAATAAAGGTTGATAAATTTAATCAAATAAAAATAAGGAGGGAAGACTGGAGAGAATGACTATAAAGGAGTAAGATGAGGGAGTTTTGGGGGAATGGAACGGCTATTCACCCCAATTGTGGGAGTAGTTATACAAATCTAAACATGTATTAAAATTCACACAACTGTACATTCCTCAAAAAGTCAATTTCCATATAATTTAAACATATAAATGAGTGCAGAAAATAAAAAATAAAAGAAAATAGTTTTGCAGAGTAAAAAAATCATAAGCAAAGTCAACAGACAAATGACAAACTAGGAGAAAGCATCTACAATTTATATAACAGATTAAAAAGCCAGAAAGTAACTTTTTTCTTTTGCTATAAAGGACATTATCAGGACAGCTGGAAAAGTTGGATAAAAGTCTATAGATTAGATAATAATACTATGTCAAGTGCTGAGTTCCTGAATTTGATCACTGTTCTGAGGTTAAACAAGAGAATGTCCTTGTTTTTTGGGAAATACATATTGAAGAATTTAGGGATAAATGGGCATCATGTCTGCAACTGACTTTCAAATGGTTTAGAATGAAATTATATGTATATAGAGAGAGAAATATGGAGCCTTGGTGGCACAGTGGTTAAGCACTCGGCTGCCAACCGAAAGATCGGTGGTACGAACTCAGCAGCTGCTCCACTGGATAAAGATGTGGCAGTCTGCTTCTGTGAAGATTACAGCCTTAGAAATCCTATGGGGCAGTTCTACTCTGTCCTACAGGGTCACTATGAGTCGGAATCGACTTGGTGGCAATGGGTTTGGATAGAGAAATAATGACAAAACCAGTGTGATAACATGCTAACATCTGGGGAATCTGGGTGGAAGGGATACAGGTATTCTTTATACTATTTTACAACTTTCTTGTTTTAAGTCTGACATTATTTCAAAATAAAAAGTTAACAAAAGAATACAGAAGCTGACTTGACAGGGCTCCAAAAAACCCAAACTCGTTGCCTTTGAATCAGTTCTGACTCATAGCAATCCTATAGGACAGAGCAGAACTGCCCCATAGGGTTTCCAAGGAACAGCTGGTGGATTCGAACTGCCGACCTTCTGGTTAACAGCCAAGCTCTTTACCACTGTGCCACCAGGGCTCCGACAGGGTTCCTAGTGACCCTGAAATTGGAACAATTTGAGCATCAAGAAAGAATAATGATGGTCATGTACTCTAACATATCGAGTTATTTAAAAATGAGTCCATAGCAATACAACACATGACAAAGCATTATAACACAGAGCTAATATCCTTAATACATGAAGGACTCTTATCAAATCAATAGGAAAACATCAACAGAAAAAAGTAGGCAGGAGATGAAACGGGACTTACTGTGAGAACACACAGATGATGTCTCCTTCAGTCAGTTCATAAGGAAGCCCTCCTAGAAGATGAAACCACGTTTCAGCACAACAAACATTTACCAAGTGTTTACTATACACCATGCACTGAGCCAGGCACTGGGGGTGCAAAGAAGAGAAAGCCACAGGCCCTGCCCTCAAAGAACTTACAGTCTGATGCTAAGACAGAAGTACATATAAGGTGCAGAAGTACATAAAAAGGAGGGATTAAAGGTGGGCGTCATCCTTAACTAAGCTGATCTGATAACTCAGATCTTCTCACACTCAAAATCCTATTTATGAAGCAGATAATTTCCAGCAAAAAACTGTTTCCACAAACTTATCTTGAATTCATCTGCTCTTTATCCATGATTTTGTAGCTAAGATCCAAAATCAGCTTAAATATGTTCATATTAACTCCATCTCACATACACTAAGGATTATAAAGAGAACTGTCAGGCATTTCATAGGAAATAAATTCCCCCCCACCCAAAATGTTTCTCCTTCCTCATCTGTAAAATGGAGATATTAGTATTTGTCTCACAGGATTGTTATACAAATTGAATAAAACAATACATATAAAGTGCTTCACACAATTAACAGTTATGACACAAAGTGAATATAGAGATGGTGATATGGCTATGGACAGAAGGTAGGAGTCATCAGATGAGAAAAATCAATTTTGAGAGGTGAGAGTTTGGAGTGGGGGGGAGGGGGCGATAGTGGCTAAGACCATGAGTTCTAGAATCCCATAGTATTGGCTGCTTCCATTTACTAGTTATGTGACCTTAAAGAAGCCGGTTAATTTCTCTGAATCTCAGGTTCCTCAGCTGTGTGGGAGTGGGGGGGGGGGCGGTAATGATCTCTGAGAAGCCCGTGAAAGGCTCTTAGCACAGTGAAGAGCAAACAATAACAGTATCGCTCATGAGCATTGACTTTGCAGGGAAAGCAAACTAGAAATTGGGGAGAAAAAAGATACAGAATCGGATTAACAGCAGATAGCAGATGAATAAGAGTGTGTGATGAAATGTGGGCAGGGGCGAAGAAGGGGAATGCTGAAATGTTAGGAAGCAGCCAGGAGACTCACCTAGGAAGACCCAGGCGCTGTCCTTGTACTCAGAGTGCCAGGAAACCTTATCGGCCACCCCAAGCTGGACCTCCCGCTCATTCAGCTCGTTGATCAGCTTCACCTTAGTCAAAGGGCTGCAGAGGGGGTGGAAAAGAGACAAGTAAGTGAGGCCCGGGCTGAGCTAAGGTAGAGCAAAACTAGGGGACTGAACTCTGTAGTCTCCGCGCCTCTTTCACCCCTCGGCCCCGCAGACGCTCTACCGTCCCAGCCCCCGTGGTCCACCTCCGGGCGGCCAGCACCCACTTCCTCAGAAAAAAGTTAAGCCTTACTTCATCTTCGCGGGTCCACTCTCCGCGCTCTGCACCAAGTCGTCGGCTTCCGGGCGAAGCTGCGCGGCGCATGCGCAGCCCCAGCCCTTCGCGGTCATTGGAGGCGGCGGAGCATGCGCCGGAAGAGCTCAACCGCTCCGGAAGCGTGGCGCCTGCGCAAGAGCGTGGAATTGATTTTTTTGGCTTTGCGTGGTTCGGTTTTCAGGAGGGGGTTTTTCTCTAGTCTCTCGCTGCTTCCCTCTGTGAATTGGGGCAGGTGTGCTAGGCTGGTCTGTCACAGATTCCCCAGCTCCTGGCACTGGTTGAGTTAGCTTTAAAAGTTTGCTGAATGAAGAATGAAAAAGGTGCCCGATGTGGCGACGTTCGTCCAGCCCTCGCTCCCAGTCCGAGGCCCCACTCGGCCCTTCACTCCCACTCACTCACACACAAGCACATCCAAGTATCTCTGTTCAGCAGTATGGCAGAAAAATGAAAAAGATATGCCCGATGCATAGGCACGGACCAATGTGCCTCCACAGGCTGAATTGAATACCCCAAATTTGTGTGAGAGCTGCTACGTTTACCCTTTTCCATAGTCTCGCCTATTTGGGAGGCAGAAATTAATATTGTTAAAGTAATAGCTAACAATTAAGCAGATAATGTGCTAAACAATGTCAGATCGTGTGCTAAGCAATTTACGTGTCTCTCCTTCACAACGACCCCGTGGACCAGATACAATGATCATCCCCATTTTATAGAGGAAGAAACTGAGGCTCAAAGGGATTAATCAGCTTGAAAGGTATTCTGCCTCTACCCACCAGGTGAGGTTTATTCAATCAGTGCTTGCTGAGCATCTATATTTGTCCTGTACATCTAGAATCTGTAGATAGGTGTTTAATGCTGGTCTTCTCCCCTCAAGGATATAATAATATAATTGAGGAGACAAGACTCCAGAAATATCCAGGAACCGGTAGACAACATGGTGACATATAATCCGTGATTTAAGTCATAACAATATTTGAACCCATCTTGCATGCTTCCACACCAAAATCTAGTCTTGAACCATGATGTTCTAAAAGTGAAGGTCCTGAGCTATGCAGTTCTCCGTGTAGGCCTAGCTCAGAGCCAGACATTAGGCCCTTCATAAAAAGCATTTTGATGATGATGATGATGATAATGACAACTGCATCCTCAAGCGGTTCACCATGTACCCATGTCCTGCCAAGTAGCAGAACAGAGGCTGCCCACCCATGACAGCATCTCCTCATACGTGTTCCGTGTCTGTGTTCCGTCCTCCAACCCAACCCAGCTATTCATTAACTTTGTAGAATTCTCTTGGCAATGAAAACTAAACAGTGACAGATTGCATATGGGTTTATCTACCTCTAGGAATCTCAGGTTGCTTAGTTGTAGGGTTGAAGTAGCCACTGCAAAGTGGTAAACTAGCATGCAGCATTATCTGGTTGACTTCTTCAAGTGACTATAAAATGAGAGAGTTGGGGCTACACCTCACCCAGTCATCAGCGTTCGGAAGGAAGCTAGAATAAGAGGCGAATAAATCAACCAAAAGGAAGGGTGATGTTGGTTGAGGAAAACATAAGAAGACTGTTGCTATCCAGATGGTGGGTTCAGCAGAAGTATTCTGAAGCTGGGAGAGCTGACGATGATTCCAGTTTGCTCAGGAATGAGGGGTTTCCCAGGACACAGGATTTTCAGTGCTAAAATTGGGAAGTCCAGAGCAATTGGTTGGTCACCCTAGGAGAGCCTGAAGTAAATAAAGAAGCGAGAAAGATTCTCCATGGATGTGTTTGCAGTTGGTAGAACTGGTAGGTAAGATGATGTCTAGAGATTTCTGTAAGTCTGAGTTGAAAGGGAATGGGGGTCCAGAAGACCCTCTGAACTTAATGCCTGAGAGGAGGTACAGGGTTTGTCATCCAAGGTGGTTATTAGTGATCTCTGCCAATAACATTTATTTAACACCCATTGCATGCAGAACTCAGTTCTAGTTTCTTGGGCAATGCTAAGGAAGCTGAAGTAGTCCCCACATTCAAGGAAAGACTGAACAATTTGTCTAGCCAAAGTCATCTCCCTACTTCCCACTACCACATCACACCCCAAAACAGCTTTCCCTCCTGACTTCCCTATTTTGGGCAATGCTATCACCATTTTCCTGGTTTGCCCAGGTTCAAAAAATGGTTGTCATATTTCAGTCTTCTCTATTTGTTGTGGATTAAATTGTATCCCCCCAAAACATATGTGTTGGAATCTTAACTCCTATACCTGTGAATGTAATCCTATTTGGAAATAGCGTTTTTTGTTATGTTACCCAGATCATACCGGAGTAGAACCAAAAACCAAACCCATTGCCATCGAGTCAATTTCAACTCATAGCGACCGTATAGGACAGAGCAGAACTGCCCCACAAGGTTTCAAAGGAGCAGCTGGTGGATTCTAACTGCCGACCTTTCGGTTAGCAGCCGAGCTCTTAATCACTACATACCAGGGCTCCTACCTGAAATAGGGTGGGTTCTAAACTGAATCGATCTAATCACTGAGTTTAAAAAAAAAAAGCAGATTAGACATAGAGGCATGCACACACGGGGGAAGACAGATGCCATGTGAGGATCACCAAAGAACAAAGGAATGCCTGGGGCTACTGAAAAGGAAGTAATCAACACAGCTGAGACCCTGATTTGGACTTTTAGCCTCCAGAACTGTGAGAAAATAAATGCCTGTTCTTTAAAGCTACCCACTTGTAGTATTTCTCTTACAGCAGCACTAGGTAAGATACTATTCCTTGCTGCACCAAGTCCTAATAATTGTACCACTGCAGTGTCTACAACATGTATATCTCCAGGCTACAGTCCTACTCCCAGTCATTGTCACATGCTTCCTAGCTCTCTCAGTACTCTTATAATTCATACCAGCCCCTAGTCATGTCTTTCTGTCATCACTCCCCAACACAGACCCTCAACTTCAGTCAGGCTCCACTTCAAGCTTTCCCCCCGAGGACCCTTTTCATTACCCAACCTGGACACCTCTGCTGAGAGAGCCCCATACACCTGAGAGAGCTGCCCTCCTCTCTGACTAAAACCTGCCCAAGCTGCAAACCTGGATCAAGTTGTCTCTTGTGCAGGAACTTTTCCTGACCTCACCAGCCCATAGTGATGGCTCCCGCTTCTGAACTCTGCATCACTACAGAACTCCTTATGCACTCTCCCCAGAAGCATCATGAGATCCTGGAAGGCAAAGGCTCTGCATTTATAACCCCTCAGCACTCAAGCCTAAAATGCTTTCCCGCACACATAACATACAGTCAGTACAGTAATTGGTTAATACAGTTGAAAAACACACACAACTATGGTTACCTTAGGAGTCCCTGGATGGTGCAAATGGTTAAGTACTCAACTACTAACTGAAAGATTGGCAGTTGAGTCCACCCAGGGGCACCTCAGAAGAAAGGCCTGACAATTGTACTTCTGAAAAATCAGCACTTGAAAACCCTATGGAGCACAGTTCTACTCTGACATACATGGGGGTGCCATGAGTCAGAGCTGACTCGACGGCAATTGGTTTTGTGCAGTGGCTGAGCGTTAAGGCTGCTAACCAAAAGGTTGGCAGTTCAAATCCACCAGCCGCTCCTTGGAAACCCTATGGGGTAGTCATACTCTGTCCTATAGGGTCTGTATAAGTTGGAATCGACTCAAGGGCAATAGGTTTGGTTTTGGTTTGGAATCTTTACGGGAGCAGACTGCAATGGGTTTGGGGTTTTTTTGTTTGTTTGTTTGTTTTTTAGGCAAACAGATGAGGGTAGTAGAAAAAGAGGCTTTTATTTTCCCTTTAGATCTCTCTATACTGTTAGAATTTTCTTACCTTTATCCAGATATTTTTTAAATGCCATGTTATCTTGGCAGATGGATTATGACCTCTCTTTTCTTGCTTTTGTCTTTTATTCATTCATCCAACAAATATTCATTGAGCAGCTATTATGTGCAGACACTATTCTAGGTGCTGGGGTTATAACAGTAAACAAGGCAAACAAAGTCCCTGCCCTCATGGAGCTTACATTCATGTTGGGGAAGAATGACAATAAACATATACACATACATCTAATGTAGCTAAGTGCTATGAAGGAAAAATAAAGCAAGGCAAAGGGAGAGAGAGTGATGGGGTGTTGTTATTTTATAAAACATGCCCGGTCAAGGAAGGCATCCCTAACAAAGTGACATTGAGAGAGACCTGCAAGAAGATGGGGAGTAAGCCAGGTGGGTATCTGGGAGAAAAGTGCTCCAGACAGAGGGAACAGTAAGTGCAAACGTCCCGAGAGAGGAGTGTTTGAGAAACAGCAAGACCAGTGTGGCTGGAGAGGAGTAGGCAAGGGGAAGACTGATAGGAGATTTTTGTTTATTTAACAAAACCTTATTTAGTGCCTAAATAAGATTCTAAGTACTTTACACACCTTAACTCAATTATTCCTTGCAACAACCTTATGAGGTAGATACTATTATCCCCATTTTACAGATGAGAAAACTGAGGTACAGAGAGGTTGAGTCACTTGCTCTAGGCACACAGCTAGTAGATGGTAGAGTCAGGATTGGAATCTAGGTAGTGTGGCTCCAAAGCCTGCAGTCTTTTTTTTTTTTTTAATTTTTTTTATTGTACTTCAGGTGAAGGTTTACAGGACAAATAGATTCTCATGAAACAGTAGTACACATATTGTTTTATGACATTGGTTAACAACCCCACGACATGTCAACCCTCTCCCTTCTCGACCTTTTTTTTTGGGGAAAATATACATAGCCAAAGATACATCATTTCAAAAATTTCTACACGCACAGTTCAGTGACATCGACTACGCTCTTCCAATTGTGCTGCTATTCTCACTTTAGATGAAGGTTTACAGAACAAAATAGTTTCTCATTAAACAGTTAGTACACATGTTGCCCTACGACAATGGTTAACAATCTCACAACACATCAACACCATCCTTACTCAACCTTGGGTTCCCTATCACCAGCTTTCCTGTCCCCTTCTGCCTTCTAGTCCTTGTCCCTGGACTGCTGTGCCTCACTAGTCGCATTTGGTTTTATGGG